TTACAGTAGCTGCATTGGAACTTGGTACGAAGGCGCAAGCATTTTCTGGACGGTGTCCTGAGCCCCAGTCCGAGGAACAGATACTGAAAACTCCCAGGGAAGTGGAAGAAGCGGAGAGTCATTGACCTTAGCAAGACCCCACACAGCGCCAACGACCCCGACGCCTACCCCAAAATCGCAGCCCAACAGCCGTTGTCTTGGGTAGTGATTGCTCCGTTTTCGCCACCCCCGACGACCAGGCAAGCCCGCCCCCCCATCGTGCATTCTGCCTTCCAGAAAACAGTCACCGCCACGCGGGGGCTGTGGGGGGGGGCGCGCAATCAGCGGAAGCCGGCGCTGGGCGCAAAGGGTTTGCCCCCCCAGTCTCCAGGATGATTTTTCATGGAGGCCATCGTTGCAACTTGGCCCTCGGCCTGGAGGCGTGCGGCTAAACGAACCCCCGAAAGGGTATGAAAAGGTTTGTCGAGGGAGCCGCGGGACGAGCCTCAATCACAGTACGTTGTAGGAAACTTTTCGCGTCCTATCGCACGCAGCCCGAGTTCGATCATGAAAGCGTCGCATCCGTTCACATGTACCTTGCCCACGCAGGCATACCACCGCATCTTGTGTTTGGGTGCTTTGTCTTTGGCTTTGCAGCGCGCGCGTCGCACCTGGTTCTCCGAGCTGCCACAACCGACTGTTCAGGATCCAATATGAGACATGGGCACGACATTAAAAAAACACCCATCAAGATGTGAAATCAGATGCCCTGTCGCCTGGACCACAGGCTGCCACCCCCCCAGGTGGAGCCGAGAGGGACAGAGCCAGAGCCTCACCCGTTCTCTCGGGTATGGCACCCGGGGAGGATTGAGCAGTCTTGCCCCTCGTGCCGTATCCGAAGACCACGAGGGACTAACACAATGTGGCACTATCCGCCAGCACCCGAGCGTATCAGCAGCCAGCCCCCAGAGCACCAGTCACGCTAACCGCCAGCACCCAGGCATATTGGCACAAGTCCCCCCGGGCATTGCCCATGAAGGAGCGCCCCCCTGGGGAGGGCGTGGGTTAGCCGTACCCCTAGAGGGCGTCCGTTGCCCCAGACTGACGCGGCCGCTCAGCTGCCTGGGGACCAGCTGCGCGCCCGCCAATCCGAACCCCTGGCCCACGCACACCAGGAACAGGGGGAGAAAGGGAGGAGAGGAAGGGGAGGAGAGGAGGGGGAAGAGGAGGCGGACACACCGATGGCCAGAGGGTGGTTAGAGACGGCTGCTTCCCACCCACCCAGACACATACACGCACACGCACACACAAACACACGCAAACACACACACACACACACACACACACACACACTTTCACAATAACTGTGAGAACCCCTGACTGGCTGAGACTCTTGGAGGTCACGGCTTTATGCGTCAGAGGGTGGTTCCCTTGGCGCCAGAGGGCGCACACGACCGCGCCAAAGCTCCCTCCGGATTCTCGCCTCAGCCCAGGGAAGGCCTAGGAAGAGTCAACCTTCCCCAGCGCCTCCCCAAGCATCACGACGTGGAGATCTTCCTGATCGGCTCTCCGTTGGACTCAGGAAGACTTTGGCCTTCGCGTTCTCCCACAGGGCTTTGCCTTCGTCCCCAGAGCATATCTTTACGCCCTCTTTGAGCTGTTCGCAGCGAGCTCCGGCAGCTGCCGACACCCGTGGCGGCGGCCTCAAGCGCTTGGCGCTCGGCGTCTGCCTCCATATCCGAGGCCAAGTTCGGACAATTAACCACCACCTTCTCGACCTTATTCCTTTAGGCCACGCCTCCATCACGACACTGTCAGCTTCAGCCCGGCAAGTTGGTTTCATCACGTTGCTTTAGTGTTCAGCGACTGCCTGGGGGTAGATAGTGGGTCGTCATCGCTGTCGTTAATCATTATTCGATGGTCTTGAGGAGCCTGCTAGATCCCGCTAGATCCATCTAGGCAACGTTCAGCGCCGCCTCCTTGGGCGTTCTTGGGACGCCTCTTCTGCCGCGAACTCCAGAGCGCGCACCTCGGCACGCAAGGATGCAATGCGCACCGTGGCCGCCACCACCGCTGCTTCCCTCGCAGCGTCCCGCCCCTTGACGGCCTTCGCCTCCGCTGCCGCTTCCTCCGCAGCGGCCTTCCCTCAATGGCCTTCGTTGGTGTTCTTGACTGCTTCATCAACGGCTCTGCCGATGCCACCACCACTTCAGCTCGCGATCAGCCGTCGCGGTGATGCTCTGATTACGGATTACATCGTCGTTGAGCGGCACCAGTTTCTTTGTCTGTTTCTCGACGTGCAGCCTCTCAGCCGATGCCACCGCCTGAGCCGCCGCCCAAGGTGCCGCCAGAGCTGCTGAGTCGGCATTCGCCTCCATCCATCCCAGCTTTCGCCACTACTGGAAGTCGAGGTGGATTGGGGACAGGCAGCGGGCGAAGTGGGGAAGAAGCGGGAGAAGGGGAGCGGGCGGTCGTAGTATCGCCCAGACTTCACGCGCTCAGGACGCGCCATCCGCTTTTTTTTTAACAGCCGCGGGCGGAAGCGCCAGCGGCGGCGAGTGACGGTCGGGCTGCGGCCGAAACTAATTGGCCGGACGCGCGCGCGGGCCGCGGCCGGCGCCGGGGCGGCGGTTGCAAGGGTGCTGCAACCAGGACGCGCCATCCGCGAAGCGAGGGGAACCCAGAACATAGTTCGTCCTTGGTGGTTGGCGGCAGAGGTCGCAGCAGTTCATGCGTATGTGCCATATGCACGTGTACACGAGTACGTTGTACAGACATACGTATACATGTACACACATCTATGTATATATATATATAGATATATGTCCATAAATTCATGTGTATGGTTATAATTTATATGCATATGTATGTGTATATGTATCTATGCGTATGTATGCATATCCAGGGTCCGGATGTGTACGTCCACATGTAAATGTAGTGTTTTTGTTTTGCGTTCGACCGTTGCATCTGTTCAAAAGACCCCCTGAGGCCTCATCCTAAACCTCTGGATATCTCCCCCCCAGGCCTCTTGCGCGTAGAGCAAAAGTGCGCCAGAGTGGTTTCTCAATTTTCGGTGCCAGAGGCGGTCTCTGGATTTCGCGAGACCGTCATCAAAAACCAATCAGGATGAAAAGTATGTCCTTGAGAATGCGGGAGTCGAGAGCTTTGGGCCCATCGATTCAAACAAATGGAGTTTGTGAAGGTTTGACGGCCGGCTCCGCCAACTGTGAGAAGAACACAGTTTGGGCGCAAGAGGCGCGGGCACGGGGCGGTGATGGCATGAGTGCGAGTGCGCACATTGAATGGCCATCGGCCCATCACGCCACTGCGCCTGGGTTACGTACAGGCCTTGTGAATATGTTTGAGGCCCTTGGGGGGCTTCGATGGGGTGCATGGAGGCCTGTGTGATTCCATCGTGGCAGGTTCAGTCGGCAAACGCAGCTTGTGATTCGCGTGGGTGCTTCTTGAGGCCTCTTGGATCTTGCTGAGGGCCTCTTGGGCGTCTCGGGAGCGTGATGGAAGGGTTCGCTTCGGCCCGCGCAGCGGTTGCGCGCTTTTAATGTTTAGGCGCCTCCGGGGCTATTTCGGGGGCATCGTTGGCCCCTGTTGGGAGCCTGTTAGGCACTGTAGGGCTGGTCTCTGGGGTTCCGTGGGCCTTCGTGGACGCTCTTGCGACCGATGCGGCGACAGCTATAAGAATGCCTGAGTTGGGCTTGTTGGGCCGGCCCCCAGGGCTTCCAACACGCTCCGCGGGACCCCCAGGAGCGCCGGAGTCATCCGAGGGTGGCCCCCGAGAGAAGGCTCCAGCGAGCCTGGATGGTCCGAAGACTGCCACAGTGTCCCGAAGGTCGCCCGATGGAGGGTGTGAGCGGGGGGAGGGTCACCGCCCCAGGGAGCCCTCCCCCTGACCGCCCCAGGAACCCCCTCCCCCTGGCGGGGAAGGGATCAACGGGGCGGGGATTCCTTTTGACTCCATCGCGACCTGGCTCGCTTCGCACGGCGAGCCTGGAGAGTCCCGGGTGGCCGCTGGGGAGAGGGGGAGAAAGTTGCTGAGGACGGGGCCGCAGGGTGGCCTCATGGACTGGACAGCCTCCCACGAAAAAGCCCCTCGCACACGCGGGCAGGGTCGGAGGATTTGGGAGGTCTGGGTTTTGCTCCTCCCTCGTGCGATTAGGCTGTATTCTCGAAGGCTGTGCACCTCCCCGTCGCATGATTAAGACTACTTCCCTCCTCCTGTTTTTTATTTCGTTCTCGAGCAACTTGGAACGCTCGCGTGCGGGGAGACATGCATCAATGTCAAAGACAGTTCGTGCATCGACCGTTCTGAAGAGGACGTCGTTGCTGTATCAGCGCCCCCTGGTCAAGTAGAGAGAAGCAAAAGGTAGAAGACTTCTGTCTCATAATCTCATCTTTTCCTCGCCAGCGCCGCTGACACCGCGCGAGCACCATGGCTGCGCGATGCTTCGGCATCGTGGGGTAGTGCGAGGTGCGTTTCGCGACGACAGGCGATCTGCGGCCCTGCAGAGGTGTGAGAGATTCGGCAAGACAACGTCCTTGAATCTGACGCAGGTAAGGTTCGACGACGGGAACGACGACGACGTCGAGGCCGCCGGACGACGCCGACGTCGACGACGACGGCTACGACGACGACGCCGACGTCGACGACGACTACGACGACGACGACGACGACGACGACGACGGCGACGGTGGGAGGCCGGGTGGCGGCAGGCCAGCGGGATTCGGGCGAGAGCGGTTCCGCTCGGCGGGGGCCAGCGGAGCATTTGGGAAGCCCGCGCTCCACAAAAAGGCTTTGAAACGCCGGACGCCGCTGCTGCAGCCTCCGCTGTCCTGCGTGGAAGGCGGGGGAATCGTGGTAGGCGAGCTGCAGCTCGATTTCCGGAGCTGAGCCTTACGCTGCGCCGCAGCGCAGCTCACGCCAACGAAACGAATGCGCCTTGGGCCGCCGAGGTGCCTGGCCTCTCCCATCGGGCGAAGCGCCCGCGCGCGGCTCCGCGCTGGAGGATGCCGACGGGGCCCCACCGTCAGCCATGAACTTCCTGGACAAGGACATCCCCCGGGGCCGCCGGGCGAGAGTCGGGGAGCCAACAACGACGTAAGCATTTTCACTCGAAAAGTCCGCGCGGATTCCTCGGATCGGCGCTAGACTCCCTTCCTTGGCGCGCGGAGCGCGCCAGAGGCGGCGTCGCAGGCGCGCCAGCGCCGATCCTAGGATTCCGAGCAGACCTGAGAGTTTGTGTGTTTATGTCAGTGTTTGTTCCCCTCGCATCCGGGGGACCGCCACGCGGGGGGGGGCCCACAGTCAGAGAAGGGCAAGTTGAAACAACGGCAGTTAGCCTTCGGGTGGTCGTCGCCACGGCAGGACGCGGCTTGGAAAATCGGTGCGTTTGAACCCTGGGAGGGGTCCTGGGATCGATTTTGAGCTGCCGTTGTCTCAACTCGCCTTGCTCCGACACAGGGGTCTCTTCTGAACGCATTCGGCGTGTGAGCCCGTTCGGCCGCCAGATGGGCATCCGAACGTGCTCAGATCGTCCGGTCGGCGGCCGAGTGGGCTCGGTCTCGAGTCGATTCGGCGGCCAAACGGGCTCATACCCATGCTCGTGCGGACCCTGAGGTCGGCGCTTGCCCGTGCCGCCCAGCGCGCCCGCTCCAGAGGCGGCTGATGCCCTCACGGACCAGTCGAAGTCCTCACAGGGCGGTCGACCAAGCTTGCGGTTCTGTCGGTTCGGTTGCGACGCATCCGGTTGCATTCGGTCAGTCGGTTTGGTTAGCGTGGCCGGTGTATTGCAAGTATTACTGAGTCGCTACGCCCTTCTAGGCTGTTCGCGGCCTGTTGGCTTCGGCCAGCTTTGGTTTCGCTGTGGGATCGGTCGGTGTTCGTGTCGACTGTCGCCGTGGACTGCATCGCCCAAGCGCTCGGCATCCTCAGAGAACGGCCAAAGTCCCAAGGCGGTCCGCTCGTTCCGAGTTACCTGTGACTCACTGCTGGACGGCGTGGTTACCACGCCGTTCTGTAGCACCCAGGGGTCGTCCCCCCTGGCTGGGCCGCCGCGAGGGAGAGAAGGATCACGAGGGCTAAGAACAACCCCAATTTGGGAGGGAAGCCCTTCCGTCATTCTTGCTTGGGCTATCCTCCTGAGAATGCTGTTCGTTCTGGGCACCGCCATGGAGCACTGGGCCAACCTTCTCATGGCCATGTCTCGCCTGTATCCTCTATCAGGGCGTCCGCCCTTGCTCGCCCACGCATCTACCACACCTTGCCTCCCCTGCCGCCATGTTTCGTCTGCGCATCAGCCTACCCACAGGCTTCTGCACAGACTGCCCATGGTGGATCTGGTATCTTGGATGGGGGCGGGAGAGAACGAGGATGAGGAGGGGGGATCAGAGGCAACGTCAGGGGGGTCAGGGGCAACGTTAGGGGGGTGGATGGGCTCAGGGGGGGATGCATCAACACCCAATCGCCCATTCATCGCCGATAGGGGCGCTCTTCCGCCCAGGAGAGTGACGACTCGCTACCGAGGGCCAATCGCCGATCCACTGGCGATGTATTGCGGATTCCAGATCGATGCCTCCCCCCCGAACCAGTCCTCCCCCAACGTTTTCCCCTCAGGGGAAGAGCCCGAGGATTGCGGTCTGCGGGCGTGTCTGGGCCGTGCTGGGCCTCCGCCGCCGCTGGACTACCTCGCAGAGTGCGCGCGCCGGCGCCGCCCCGGCGAGGAGGACAAGCCCGGGCGGCCGCCGCAGAGCGTGGCGGTGGACCGGCTCGACTACGCCCTGCAGGCGCGCCCGCGGGGGTGCGCTGCAGGGTGCCCGCAGCCAGGGCAAACGGACGGGTCGGCTCGATCCGGGGCCTCGCCGGGCAAGAGGACGGGAAGGGTTCCTTAAGGGGCTTTTTGGGGAGGGGGTTTTCCAGAGAGCCCCCCAGGGGCCTCGGAGCCTCGTCAAAACAGGGGATGCAAAGCCCCTGGAGGATCCATCGTGGCAAACCCCCATCCCAAAAATCCCCTTTGGAACCCTCTGGGAGGACACCACGGCGGGAACCAGGGTGCCCCGTCCCTGGAAGGGCCCAGACTCCCCCTCGGTTCCCGTCGCTCTGGAGGGTTCCAGAATTGGGGCCTCCCAGATGGGGTCGGAGGATCGCGCCGCATCGCCGATGCCTCGCCGATGATGCTCAATGTAGAGCTTTGTATTCTCCACGCCGACGGCGCCGATGCAGCGGCGATGCGGCGCGATCCTTCGCCCCCATATTTAAGAGGCCGTTAAGAGTGAGGGGGGCCAGGGCGTTCAGACACTAGGAGGTCCCAGACGCCCCTCGGTGCCCTTGCGTCTGGAGGGTTCCAGAAGATTGGGGGCGACAGATGAGGATATGCCGCCTGCGTCTCCCCGGCCCCTATCAGAGGGGCCCAGGCGGGAGGCCTACAGTGCTCGAGTCGGCTACACGCAAGAGTGACCGTTTGCTGGAGTGGCCCTTGGTGTGGGCCCAATGGGGCCCCCGATCGCTGAATGCGATAGCATCGGCTTGTGCGCCTGGTAGTGTCCCCGAAGGGCCCCTCTTGGGCCGCGCACCAAAGGTCACTCTTGCCTAGGGTCACTCTTGCGTGTAGCCAATCGAGACGGGTTGTAGGGCGAAAGGGGTTGGCAGAACCCCAGCCCCCCGTTCGGAGTCGACTCTTATGAGGGAGCCTTGCGTTCGTGATGGGAGCTTTCCCTTGGGGGCATTTCTTCGGCTCCGCCGCCGCTCTCTTGGCGCAGGCGCGAGGCGGCATCGCGGCTTCCCAGCCGTCGCCCGCCAAGGCCCCGCGGCTGTCGTCCGACATGGGCCCGCCGGCAAACTGTCAATGCTCCAGTCCGCCCATCCCAGGCCGGACTCTGACGTCGCTCGGCGATGCCCTGATGTGGGCACAGCCGTTTGTCTCGCAGCTTCGGTTTCTCAGGCGGCTCGCAGAGGACGGTCCGAGGCGGCAGGCTGGTCCGGCCGAGGTGGTCGGAGTTCCAGCGGGCACGTCAATGATCATGTTTCGTGGCGGACCCGGCGAGCGCGCAGGTCGGTAGTGCAGCCCAGGGCCAGGGCCACTAGACGTCGCATGAAGCGCCGCGAGATTTTGGACATCGGGGGACAAGGCGGCCGCGGGCACGTCAAGAAACACCACAACTCGACAAAAAAAAAGAAACACCACAACGTCGAGAGTTTTGGGGTGGATGTCGCGCAGCTCCAGCGGGCATGGGGTATATGTTACGCCCTGCCGGTAGAAGGCCCTAGACTCCCCAGGCAGCATACATAAAGAGTGGCGACGCAGAGCATTACTTTAGTGCGCATATAGGATACCAAACGCGAACGGAAGACCATACGAGAGACCATGCGGGAGACCATGCGGGATACCATACGGGAGTCAAGACCAGAGACCATGCGGGAGACCACACGGGAAACCATGCGGGCAACCAGACGGGAGATTATGCCGGAGAACGTACGAGAGACCATAAGGAAGACCATGCGATGCGGGAGACCATACGGGAGACCATACCTTCCTCCCTCCTTCTCTTGGGGCTGCTCTTGTACGCTGGGACCCCTGTGCCCCGATTCAGTAAACCTGCGCCACTCTGTCGCCCGGTGTGTTTGCGGAATTGCCCCGTCACCGAGGTTGGTTGCATGTGGTGGTTTGCGAGTTAGTTCCTTTTCCTTCGCTTTTCCCTTCTCCCCCAAACAACTAGCAATGAGGGAGTCCACAAAGGATGCCATACGTGAAACCATACGCCAGACCTGAGTAGAACGCTTTCGCATGTTGGGGTGGGGAATCTTCGCCTCAGAGTTTCACCCTTGGCGGCGGAAGACCCTAGGTCGATGTTTCCGGTGCTCACGTGATACATCGATTACAGAAGGTGTCGAGTAGTACGAAGAGAATTTACAATTGTCTCAATTTGGAGACCATTCGGGACCCTAGAGGGATACAATAGGGGAGGCCAGAGCGGAGACCATATGGGAGACCATCAAGGGAGACTATACGGGAGACTACAAGTGAGACCACACGGCAGACCATACTGGAGACGATGAGAGAGGCCATACGAGAGACCAGACGGGAGACTACGCGGGCGACAATGCGGGAGACCAGACAGACGGGAGAGAAGACGGGAGACCAGACAGACGGGAGACCAGACAGGAGGCCGTAAGGGAGGCCTTGGAGGAACATTTACAGGCGACATGACGGGAGACCAGAGGGGAGAACGGACGGGAGAACAGACGGGAGACCATGCGGGAGACCATGAGGGGAGGCTACACATGAGACCATAGAGGTCACCATGCGTGAGACCATACGGGCCAACGGGAGAGTATTCGGGCCACCGAGCGCGGATTTGGAGGACCTTACATTGAGCATTAGCAGCAGGATGAATGCTGTACCTCGGAAACATGCGTTTTGTCAGTTGGAATTTTCTAGACGAGCTGCTTCGCGGGAAGATAAGCAATAAGACCGTGGTCGCAACGCGAACTCTTACATGTTGTCTCGGATCGACCAAGCCAGATTCTGATTCGTAGCATCTGGTCTGGCATGCGAGACGCTAGTCGGCCGACCTTGCAAATGCAGGGGAGCCTTGGTGCCTTGTCTATAACTGATCACGGCCTCGTCATTAGAGCCAGCGTTGCCCTCGGATGTGTATTGTGTCCTCTCGGGCGCCCTCTGCAATCAGTCCCGTCTGTAGCAGCACGGTGACGCTTTCACGACCAATGAGGAGAAAACTAGGCAGAGCGGTTGCACTCTCGCGCCGTGCCCTCCCGGACGGCCGCTAGCATGGCCGCAGACTCCGACCAAACAGTTCAGCAGGGGCATTGGCTAAACCAGCCAAGGCGCTGATGAACCGACATGCTCGGGCCGCCTGTTTCTGCCCGGCCATGCCCCGCATGATTGTTGTGGTTTGCCGTTCAGATGGGCGGCGCCACCACAGGCACTCCCTGACGCCCTCGCCGTCCTCGTGGCCGCAGGGCAACAGCTCTAGGCAAGACGTCGCGGCAATGCACAGCGCCATTCGGCCCCTCGAGCTGGGGCTCGCTGAGCTTGAAGCCTAAACCTCCTCCTGTGTGAGGGAGGAGGACCGGGGTATCCCCTCTGGTGGCCAGTATCATGCATCGGCGCAACCCCTCCTGGTGTCCCGTATCGTAGCGGTGGGTGGTTTCGTGGCTCGGAGAGGGCATCGCGACGGCGTCAGTGATGAGCGGAGTGCGATGGTAGATCGTTTCGGGGGCCAGAAGAGATTTATGAGGCGCTAGTGGTGAGGGATGGGGAGTAGGGAAGAGCAGGAGGCGGACGAGGAGGACGAGAAGGAGGAAGAGCGCCAGGAAGGAAAGGAGAAGAGCACGAGGACGAGGAACTAGTGGGGGTCGACTCGGGCACTGGCAGTGTGCTGCACTCTTCGTCGTTCAGCTGCCTTTGGAGAGCTTGAGACAGCTTTGGATCACTGGTGGTGTCAGCGCGCCGCATGCGCAGATCGCGCCCGCTTTGTCATTCCTTAGATCGGCCCGCGTACCTGGCCAGTTACGGTTATCATTTCCAGCACCTGTTCTGAGGGGCCAAGCGTTGCGGCAGGTTCGCGCCGAACGCCGCCAGTTGTTCAGAATCGGCCGACACAGAACGACATGTGGCATCGGGAAGCCGCGATCGCGCAAGGTCGAAAGATCCACGCGGCGTTAGCAACCAATGATGCTATCATCGCGACGTGAATCTGCTGTACCAGCTCTCTGTCAGAGGCGTGCACACGATAACGTTACATTCCTCAATTCCAAACTTGAGTAGAATGAGGAAGAGGATGATGTTGTTGATGATGCTGTTGTTGATGATACTGAAGAGGAGGAGTAGGAGGAGGAGGAGGAGGAGGAGGAGGAGGAGCAGGAAGAGGCTGTGGTACAAACGTGGCTGCGGAAGCAGCTAGCATTGCGTTCGCAACAGGATCCAGCCTTCGTGAGAAAGTGCCCCCTTCCCCAGCCTGTTGTTCCAACGCAAGGACTGGCCTAATGCTAAGGAGCGCGATAGGAGGAGCAGTAGAAGGAGAGAGAGGATGAGTAAAAAGAAGAGGATGAGAAGGAGGCGACGCAGCAGCCTGACGAGGAGGAATATGAGGGGGGTCAAGTTAGCCAGGCCAAGCTAATGAGAGGGCCCCGCCAACTCCTACCCCCCCTCCCATAACATAAGAATCACTTGTGGCGCAATCTGAAATTTGGATTGGATAGCGTTCCCACCAAGCAAACGGAAGGCGCTCGCGCGCGATCCAGGTTCCGACGACTTGGCGAGGGGACAACGCCGCGCGGGCCGCGCTGAGGCGGGAGCGGCATACGTACCTTCCGATGAGCGCTGCGAAGACGAAACAAACGCCGCGCCGACACGGCACTTCCGCTTTCGCCCATCAGTTGCGCGGCGCTTGGGCGACATCAGCATTTCGCCGGGTCCCGCGCTGCCCCGCTATTGCTGCCGCTGTCATGCGATTCGGCGAACGAGCCATGCGCCGCGCCTGCGTGGCACGCCACTCCCGAGCGAAATGCGCACGGAGCCAGGGCGAGGGGGACAGGTCGCCCGCTCGCGCGTGCCCCCCGAACATAGGCGAGTGTAACAGATGTGCCGCGCCGAGGCGGGAGTGCCACTTTCAGAAGAAATGTGCGCGGGGCCGAGGCGATAGCTACATTTTAGTCCGCTCGCGCGCCGACGAAGCGACGTGCGGAAAAACGTGTACCGCGCCCCAGCGGGAATTCACTCGTCTGGAAAAAGTAAGTCCCGTGCTGTAGCGAGAACGCCCTTTCGCACGGCATGTGTGCCCCGTCAGGTTGTGCAACCTGGACAGCAGGCGGCCCATCTCGAGAGCAACACGCGTATGTATATATATATATATATATATATATATATATATATATATATTACATAGATATTGCAACTGTGGCAGCTAGGACGCCCCGGGATTGGGGTGCTGTTGGCCAGCTACGTGGCAGAGAAGGAGTGCATATGGATCAAGAATACGGGCAGAGGGCCGATATACAGGCAGAGAGGGGGGGGATCAGGAGGAGGAGGAGGAGGAGCAAACAGGATCGGGTCTGGTGCCCACTGGTGGCGCGCGGGCAGGAGAGCGCTTTCGAGTCCATGAACGAGCTCTTGAGCGCAATCAACAGCCACTTCCACTACTGGATCAACGAGGACTGCGCCACTCGAGCCTGCCAGGGGAAAAGGATGGGACGAGGAGCGGGGAGAAGATTCGGCGGAGGAGGGCGGAGGGAGGGTGGAAGAAGGTGCGCTATTGGGGTAGCTATCAGCGAAAGTGGGTGATGCTGGTGGTAGTCGTCAGGGATTTGGTTTGGGAGGTCCCACCTTGCGGAGCGGTGAGCGTGGTAGATGACCTGACGGGCGACATTACAGGCGGGGTGGGGCATGGGTCAGAACAGCGCTGCAGGCGACAGGGAAAGTATGTTCCAGCGTGGAGTGTGGGATTGCGGCCGTCAAGTTGCCGAGCAGTTGGGGCAAGACGCGTTTCCCGATATTGGACCCCAAGCTCCTCCCATTCCCCCTCAGGCAACCAGGATGGACCCTCGGGCCCTCGGGGCTGACAAGATGGCGCTCTCTCTCTCTCTCTCTCTGGGACCTCGGAGGGGTCTGAATCGGTCTGACGTCTGCGGCGCGGCAGGCCTGTTACGCACCGCGGACTGCGAGCAGGCCAGGATCGCGGCACGCTTGTCGGGCGCGGCGGGCACGTGTGTGGCATCTCTTCCTGGGAGTTTGCGCCGCACGCGTGGGCTTCCGCGAGCGACTCCGAGGCGGGCCGCGTGGAAAACGGGCCCTCTCTGTCCCAGACAGAGCTCGACCGCCAGTAACCACCCCTCCGGAATACTGCGCACCTGTCGGTGCGAGGCGCTGATTGACGCACCGACGGCAGCTCCGATCGAAAGCCTCGCGAGCTCTCATCAAAGCATAACGACGGATAACGACGGCAGCTGGTCATCCTTCACTGGACCTAGGCTTTGCTTCCGGGGCTTGGCCTGAATTATTTAATCGCTTCGCTCATTCCGCGGGCCCGTATTGGTGCACGGCTGTCGAGTGCCCGTGTGATCGTTGTCAAAGGGGTGTTGCTGGGTTTTTTTTGTTTATGGATGGCTGGTTTTGGGTGATTTCGCAGGCGGGAACCGTTCTTTGCCCGCCTGAACCTTCTGTTTCGGAAGGTGGCGGCTCGTGAATACGATCGCAGGGAACAAGACAACATTCTGCAGCTTCCTTTTTGCATTCTTCGGGCCCCTGGTCGCTTTCTGGGGCCTCTTAGGAGCCTCTTGGGGCGTCCAGGAGGCCTCTTGGAGCGGAAGGCTAGGATTTTCGGTTCGTGGTCTCCACCTTGGGCCTCTCTTGGGGCCCTCTTGGGGTCCTTTTGGACCGTTTTGGGAACCTCGTGGGCTGTCGTGGGGCTCTCTTGGACGGTCGTGGGCCTCTCTTGGAGGCCTCTTGGGCCGTCTTGGGGTGGTCTTGGAAGCTTCTTGGGCCGTTTTGGAGCGTCGGAAAGGCGAAAAGCGAGGAAGCAAATTATCTTGCGACATACCCAACCCTTTCTACACAAGTGACGATTGCATTCAGGACCACAATACCGAAGGACATGTCGGCGCCATGGTATAGTGGTGATTTGCGTAGGACGTACCTCCGCTGAGCCTCCCAGAAGCCCATGCGCGCCAGGTGAGCCAAACGCGCCAGGCGCGCCAGGTGCGCCAGGTGCGCCACGTGCGCCAGGTGCGCCAGGTGCGCCACGTGCGCCACGTGCGCCACGTGCGCCAGGCGCGCCAGGTGCGCCAGGTGCGCCAGATGCGCCAGGCGCGCCAGGTGCGCCAAGTGTGCGCCAGGTGTGCGCCAGGTGTGCCAGGTGCGCCAGGTGCGCCCAGCGCGCCAGGTGCGCCAGGTGCGCCAGATGCGCCAGGTGCGCCAGGCGCGCCAGGTGCGCCAGGTGCGCCAGGTGCGCCAGGCGCGCCAGGTGCGCCAGGTGCGCCAGGCGCGCTAATTGAGCCAGGTGCGCGCCAGGTGTGCGCCAGGTGCGCCTAGCGCGCCAGGTGCGCCAGGTGCGCCAGGTGCGCCAGGTGTGCCAGGCGCGCCAGGTGCGCCAGGTGCGCCAGGTGCGCCAGATGCACCAAGTGTGCGCCAGGTGCGCGCCTGGCGCGCCAGGTGCGCCAGGTGCGCCAGTTGCGCCAGGCGCGCCCGGCGCGCCAGGTGCGCCAGGCGCGCCAGGTGCGCCAAGTGCGTCAGGTGCGCCCAGCGCGCCAGGTGCACCAGGTGCGCGCCAGGTGCTCCCAGCGCGCCAGGTACGCAAGGTGCGCCCAGCGCGTCAGGTTCGCGCCAGGTGCGCGCCAGGTGCGCGCCAGGCGCGCGCCAGGTGCGCCAGTTGCGCCAGGCGTGCGCCACGTGTGCGCCAGGTGCGCGCCAGATGCGCCATGTGCGCCAGGTGCACCAGGTGCGCCAGGTGCGCCAGGTGCGACAGGCGCGCCAGGTGCGCCAGGTCTGCGCTAGGTGTGGCAGATGCGCCAGGTGCGCCCAGCGCGCCAGGTGCGCCAGGTGCGCCAGATGCACCAGGTGTGTCAGGTGTGCGCTAGGTGCGCGCCAGGTGCGCCAGGTGCGCCAGTTGCACCAGGCGCGCCAGGCGCGCCAGGTGCGCCAGCTGCGCCAGGTGCGCCAGGTGCGGCAGGTGCGCCCAGCGCGCCAGGTGCACGCCAGGTGCGCGCCAGGTGCGCAAGGTGCGCCAGGTGCGCCATGTGCGCCAGGTGCGACAGGTGCGACAGGTGCGCCAGGTGCGCCAGGTGCGTCAGGTGCGCCAGGTGCGCGTCAGGTGCGCCCAGCGCGTCAGGTGCGTCAGGTGCGCCCAGCGCGCCAGGTGCGCCAGGGGCGCGCCAGGTTCGCCAAGGGGACAGGGAGGCGTCAAAGTGATTTGCGTAGGACGTACCTCCGCGGGGCCTCCCAGGAACCCGCGAAAGTGGCGACAGTCGCGCATATCGCAGCCCCGCAGGGGACAGGGAGGCCTCAAAGTGATCTGCGTAGGACGTACCTCCGCTGGGCCTCCCAGGAACCCGCGAAAGTGGCGACAGTTGAGCAGATCGCAGCCCCGCATGGGACAGGGAGGCCCCAAAGTGATCTGCGTAGGACGCACATCCGCTGTGCCTCCCAGGAACCCGCGGAAGCGGCGACAGTTGCACAGATCGCAGCCCCGCACGGGACAGGGAGGCCTCAAAGTGATCTGCGTAGGACGTACCTCCGCTGGGCTTCCGAGGAACCCGCGAACGTGGCGACAGTTGCGCAGATCGCAGCCCCGCAGGGGATAGGGAGGCCTCAAAGTGATTTGCGTAGGACGTACGTCCGCTGGGCCTCCCACCAGGAACCCACGAAAGTGGTGACAGTTGCGCAGATCGCAGCCCCGCAGGGGACACGGAGGCCTCAAAGTGATCTGCGTAGGACGTACGTCCGCTGGGCTTCCCAGGAACCCACGAGAGTGGCGACAGTTGCGCAGCTCAAAGTGATTTGCGTGGGACGTACCTCCGCTGGGCTTCCGAGGAACCCGCGAACGTGGCGACAGTTGCGCAGATCGCAGCCCCGCAGGGGATAGGGAGGCCTCAAAGTGATTTGCGTAGGACGTACGTCTGCTGGGCGTCCCAGAAACCCACGAAAGTGGCGACAGTTGCGCAGATCGCAGCCCCGCAGGGGACAGGGAGGCCTCAAAGTGATCTGCGTAGGACGTACCTCCGCTGGGCCTCCCAGGAACCCGCGAAAGTGGCGACAGTTGCGCAGATCGCAGCCCCGCAGGAGACAGCCAGGAGCCCACGAAAGTGGCAACAGTTGCGCAGATCGCAGCCCCGCAGGGCACCGCGAATACAGGAGAGAAGGAGGAGGAGAGGGCGGAAGGTGGATACCACAATGCTCTATTCAAAACGAGTACCCAACACAAGGAGGGTTGGGACACACCTTGAAACACCCAATGGAAATCAATGGTTTTGGCGCTCTGAGGCTTCGTGGACGTTCATTGGGATCTCGTTGGATGCCTCTCGAGGGCTTCTTGGAGTCTCTCGCGAGTCGTTGTCGAGCCTCTTGGGGTTTCTCTTTCGGGCCCCTTGTCGCCTTTTGGGGCCTCTTGGGGGCCTCTTGGAGCCTCCAGGAGGCCTCTTGGAGCTGAAGGCTCGGATTCTCGGTTCGTGGTCTCCATGTTGGGCCTCTCTTGGGGCCCTTTCGGTGTCCTTTTGGACCGTCTTGGGCGCCTCTTGGGCTGTCGTGGGGCTCTCTTGGACGGTCGTGGGCCTCTCTTGGAGGCCTCTTGGGCCGTCTTGGGGTGGTCTTGGAAGCTTCTTGGGCCGTCTTGGAGCGTCGGAAAGGCGAAAAGGCGAGGAAGCCAAAAACCTTGAAAGCCCCAATGGAAATTAATGGTTTTGGCGCTCTGAGGCTTCGTGGACGTTCATTGGGATCTCGTTGGATGCCTCTCGAGGGCTTCTTGGAGTCTCTCGGGAGTCGTTGTCGAGCCTCTTGGGCTCTCTTTCGGGCCCCTTGTCGCCTTTTGGGGCCTCTTGGGGGCCTCTTGGAGCCTCCAGGAGGCCTCTTGGAGCGGACGGCTCGGATTCTCGGTTCGTGGTCTCCATGTTGGGCCTCTCTTGGGGCCCTTTCGGGGTCCTTTTGTACCGTCTTGGGCGCCTCTTGGGCTGTCGTGGGGCCCTCTTGGGCGGTCTTGGGGCTCTCTTGGAGGCCTCTTGGGCCGTCTTGGGGTGGTCTTGGAGGCTTCTTGGGCCGTCTTGGAGCGTCGGAAAGGCGAAAAGGCGAGGAAGGCAAACACCTTGAAAAACCATATGGAAATCAATGATTTTGGCATCTTGGGGCTCTCTTGGAAAGGGTCGGGGCTCTCTTGGGACGTCTTGGAAGCTTCTTGGGCCGTCTTGAGGCCGTGTTGGGCGTCTTGGGCCGATCGCTCGGTAATTCGGAACCCTCTTGGACCGTCTTGGAAGCCTGTTGGGGCCCTCTTGGCGCGCTCCGGGGAGCGTGGAAGGCCGCACCCAGGAGGAAAACCATCTCTGAACTCAGGTTTGCCGGGAGTGTCCCGGGACCTTGCCGGGGGACTTTCCGGCCGGGGACCCCCAGGGGCCGCTCCGCGCGCGCGAAGTATAGAGTTATTGTTAACCAGTTACGGGAGATCTTAGCAC